GGGGGGGGGGGGGAGGACACCCTCAGCTGCAACAGATACTTGAGCATGCTGTCATGTGATCTCTCGCAGGACCTCCTGCGCCGTGACATCTTATATTATAAGAGTCGGATCAACATGGATGACATGGAAATAGTAGATGTGGAGGATGGGAAGGACAAGGACTTCAACATCAGTGTTAAAAATGCATTCAAGCTGCACTGTAAGACCACAGAGGAAGTCCACTTATTCTGTGCAAAAAAGCCAGAACAGAAGCAGCGCTGGCTCAAAGCATTTGAGAATGAAAGGAAACAGGTTCAGCTCGACCAGGAAACTGGTATGGAAAGACCAGCTGGTGCCTAACATAGCCCCATGCCACTAAACTGAAATAGATGCCAATGCAATAAATGAGCCCCTCAATCCCATCCCTGGGCTGTCACTTCATATATTATGCATGATAGTGTTTTCCTTTTCCTCTCATTGGGCACCAAGAAAAACATAGCACAGAGAGAAAATTCTGAAATGAGGTCTCAAGGAGCTGTAGAAATCTTTGCCAGGCCTTCTTGAACAATTAAGTAGTCAATACGTTGTGAATATTATATAGCCGTCTGCAAAGTACAGCAGTAGAGACAGATGCGTCTCTCTCTCTCAGCATGCACAGCCCAGGGTCTCGCATGGCCCTCTCTTTGCTGTGGGCCAAACCCATCTAAACTTAGCCTAGCCTTATGTGACTGGGGCTGAATTGTGTCAGCCCTGTTTATGCGGCTCCTGTGGAGGGCTAATGCACTGACACCACCACAGCCTGCAGGCAGTTTGTGAACTGTATTGATCCAGGATGCAGGGAGCGGGGCACCTTGCAGCAGACACAACTAGCTTAGCCATCTTCCTTGGGTACCCAGTGGACTGGAAGAAGCCCTGCCCTCCACCAAGCTATGCTGCCGAAGCACAATCAGAGCCAGTGATCCTTGTGCTTCCTGAGATTTTGCCCTTTTAATATATGCTTATCCAAGAAAAATCATATGAGCCTGAAGTGATGCAAGTGCCTTATTTTAAAGGTTTTTCGATCACTGAAGTGCAGAAGAAGCAGGCAATGTTGAATGCCAGCAAACACCACCACAGTGGGAAGCCCAAGGGTGAGTTTGGCTCCGTTTGGTTTCCCCCCTACCCCAAGTATTTCAGTGCTTCTGAAAAGGCAGCACACAGGGTTTGAGCTGGTCAGGCCTACTGCTGCCCACCATTCAGGAGACTGGTTCTGGTTATTTTTTATGCCATAGTTTGCCCATCTTCTCTCAGTAGGAAGGTTTATAATACTTAATGGCAGTGTCATACTAGTCATTTGGTAAGCAGAGGCAAGTGAATAGGTAATTGCTTTTTCAACAACAGTTTCTCATTTCCATACATCCAGCCTGACAGGAAATTAGAATAAAATTGGATTGAAATAGAGTAAAATATGCAGCTGCATCAGTTTATCAGCAAGTAAACTGTTTGTAAAATCAAAAACTTCACTGGCACCCATATATAAATTAATTCAGATTTACTGCTGAACACCTACATGGCAGTCTGAATTACATCACAACTGTTGAGGCATTTCAGTTTTTCTGTAATAGCATTTTTGTTCATAAAAACTACAAGCAGTTATTCCTTTAGACTGTGGTAAAAGATAACACTTGTATTCTTTCCTCCTGAATTGCTAAGATGTAGCCTCAAGCTCCTTTACTAGTAAAAGTATTTAACTGAACACAATGTCAAAGTGATCCAAGCCTTAAAGCCATCCATTCTACTTTAAGTAGCTGGGAAATTTTATTCTTCCCCAATCTTGATCCAATTCCCTACTGTTACTATTTATAGGCAAATAATTAAGGAGTAATTAAAGATATGTTTTACCAATGAACTTGCAAAGCAAGGTCTGGGGATCATACAGGAAGAAATACCAACAGCAGCAGTTACTCACTTTCACATCCTACCACATTGAGTGCTATTGCTTTAAGCTGAATCAAGAAACACAGTTTTGCAGATTGTCTTTGACAAGCTAATATTGTTGCTGGAGCAGGTTCCTCATCACTGAAGAATGAGAGCGAAAATGACATGTAAAATGGTCCTGGTGACACGCATGCAACCGTCCCTGAACTATGGCAGTGAGCTGCAGCACCATATTTTAGTGCTGCCTTTAATTACATCATTTTTTTTTCTGCATAAGGCCATTTTGCTATTGTGATTAGTGTCAATCAAATGACACTAACAGAAGCTCTTGTGTAGGCCACATGGTGGGCTCAGGTGTGGGAGACTGGCAGCTCTAGCTAGGTTAGAGAGATTGCAGTCCTAATGAAGCTGAGGAAAGCCTGGAACCCAGCCTTCCTTGACTATGAGACGTAGCTTGCATCTACTCATTGCTTTATGTTCCAGAAACCCACAAGAGAGCTCAAGGTGGTTAAATACAGTGAGCAGCTACTGCCCAGGGGACTATTCAGTGGCTTCTGACTGGAGACTACCAGTCCTTTGAAACAGGGTCCTCCAGGCAATTTGAAATGGTGTGGTCACTTGCATAGAAGGAAGTGAGAAGTGGAGGAATGATAAGTAGCTTTTAGGGGGAAGTAGAAAGTGTTCTTAGGCTAAGAGATTGGGCTGATTAACTGTTTACCATATCAGCTTCTTTGTGCGCACACATGCCCCCAAGGCAGTGCTGTGCAGAGAAACCCATCATGGTTTTGGAGTTCTGTCTACATTCAAGGGTGGCTGCTGGCTGTTTTAAAGAGTATCCTAATACCCAACCAGAACAAATCTAGTTAATACTAGTGGTGACTGGGTAGGAGCTGAGATTGAGACTGCACCAGCCTAATGTTTGCCCTTGCCTGTCTCCTTATCTGCACAGCTGTCACCAGGCCCTACTATGACTTTCTGATGCGCCAGAAGCACCCCACACTGCCGGCCAACCTGCCCCAGCAGCAAGTCTTCATGTTGGCAGAGCCCAAGCGCAAGCCTTCAAACTTCTGGCAGAACATCAGCAGGCTGACACCCTTCCGGAAATGAAGGGCAGCCCCATGTCTGTGCCTGAATCCCCTCCAAGAAAGCACTTTATCCATCAGCTCTGGGAGACTTGAGCCCAGACTCCTCCAATCCTTTGTCTGCAGAGGACGGTGCACGCTCCTTCCCTCCCTATTTATTTTGCAGACTGACTAAACTCAATGGCTCCAAAATGGGACACTGTGCTTGTACCAGTCTAAGTGAGCCGACCTTGCACAGCACCCAGCAGCTCTGTAACTCCCAAGCAAGAGAACACAACCGCATGGAGCCCAAAGTGTGTTTCATCCTCAGATTTCCCTTACTGTTTGTTTGCATCTTGAACCATTCCTCCCAGCTGGGAACATAATTGCTGTATGACAACTGCCAGAAAGACTAACTTCCAGTCAGCGCGGCTCTCCGTGCAGAGACATCAGCTGGGTCAGTAGGACATCTACTGGCTTGGTGTCTACTGAGCATGCCCAAAACACTGGTTCCATTATTGCTGATGTTATGCACTTTCGGGGGGAATTAAACCCTTTCTTCCACTGCCGCCATCCCCAGCATTTCTCATCAAGGAAGTGATATCCCTACATGTTTAACAAATTGATTAGCCTTTATTGGCACTTAGAAAAGGCAGCAGTGAGTATCACTGTGACCTTTTTTACTTCCCCCTTAGTTCAGCACACTGATGAAGAACCATAGTATGTTAAATGGTGCCAACCAACTTACAGCATGAGTAAAAGTACAAGAATCTCACAATCTAGCTGGTTTTCTTGAGTTATGTATGTTAGGAAAAATTGTGCCTAAATTAATACTTAGACTCTTTCCACCATCACTCTGCCATATTTCCTGGCCAATGAAAATGTTCATTGTTTGTAATGTGTTTTATTTATGGTAAAAAACAAAACTGTGTATTTTGTAAGTTTGTAATTGGTCTTGTCAGATGTTAACTTGATGCCTGTTTTGTCTGTCTTTTTTAACAAAAATAAGGTGGCCAACACTTGCAAACCTAGCTCCCTAAAGTTAGAACTCATGGCTGGGCCCCGGGTTCATGGCTTTTCACTTGTTGTGGGGAGTGGGGGGAAAGGTGCAGGGAAGAGAAACAAGTCAGTTCTAGAAGACCCTGACCATGGGATTTGGAGTCTACCTTTAGGCATCCAGGTTTGATAACTGTGGCCAAAAAGAATTCATTTAATCCTTGGTTAGTAAGAGAAAAGATATGCCTTACAATAGTGAAAGAGTTAGAAGCCATACTGACTGAATTCCATAGTTTAGAAGAAAGTCCTGTGAGGTTGGAAAGAAGATATCCATTCACTCCAACAGGATGCTATTGTGAGTGAGCACTAACTCTCTGCAAAGCTCAGAGGTCCAATGTATGCTGATGCTGTAGCTGACCAAAGTCTGGTCATCCAGGGATATCTGAATTCAGTAGCATGTATAAAGTCATTCTTGCACTATATCTTTCCCCACACCAGGGGCTACATTTAATTTCATAAAGAAACTTGTAAAAGTAACCTGCAGCCTGTGTGTGTGTGTCTTACATGTCTGTATCCATTTGTGTGGTCCTTGTTTTCCCTCTTCACAATCATAGCAGGGATCATAGCCATGGGCCTGGATAGGTTTCAGCGTTGAGTGTAACATCCTAACTAGTCTCTGCTAAACTTAAGCCAAAGTCAAGAACATCACTGGCTGAGCATATTATACCATGCACATTATTCAAGTGTGTTTTCCTTAACCAGAATTACCTTTTATTTATATAACTTGCAATGTACACTTGAGCTCTTCAACTCTGATTTGCCTCTTACTGCTGCAAGGAATGAGATTGGAAAGCAGTGTCAAGATGTAAAAACTGCCTAAGATTATCGCTATATATGAACTGAATACAACATATGTAATAGACACGGCAGCACCTACTCACTGCATCATGCAGCCTGTCATGAGGAGTGATGCTTCTGTTTGTGGAATGAGATGCCTAAACTGTGGTTAAAAATTTCATTGGTGTACAAAACAAACAGTCTAGGCCCTCTTCTCACATTTCAGTTAACAACATTGTAGCCATACCCTTCTCTTGGTTGCAATGCTTGTTTTTTTGTGGGTCATTTTGTGCCCACCCCATTTCCTGCTACGAGTACTCTTCCCCAGAAGGGATAGCAACAGCTGTGGACTAACACAGTCTTAACTAGGAGGTATCTCAAGTTGCTCTGGCCATATTAGAAAATGGGTGCCTACTTAGTAAGATGCTCCCCCCCAGGGCAAGGGCTTCCTCCATCTTAACATTTTAAATCATTCACCTTCCAGTAACAAGCCATTTCATTTGGGCAATTAAAAGTTTATCTGCTACTTTTCATAACGCAAACCACATGGCTGTTGCAACATGTTTAATCTGTTGAATTGAGTCATCTTTTTAGGACCAGCTCTGCTTCACAGAGGTTCATGCAATTAGAGAACTGACTTGCACCACCTGGGGGAGGGAGAAGAGAGAGAGAGACCTGATGGGTATTGCAGAGAAACTGTACGACACAGTAGGTGCTGTTCCTTTGTCCCATTTATCCTAGGTGTCTGCACCCCTTCTTCCTTACCACAAACATGTCTGTTTTGATTGGCCAGGAAGCAAACAGGTTATTATGTAAGCGATCATTTTTCTGAGTCTAGGGGTACTTGGTGAGAGGAGCTTTTTTACGCTGTACTGACAGTTTTAATTTGTACAGATGGAGTTTAAGGAAAGGCTGAATTCACTCTCACTGGCAAAGGTCAGCAGTAATTTCACTGAGCTAATGGGTGTGAAACTGATAGAGAAACCAGTCTAACGAAGTTAAAGAATCTTGAAAAATGAAACTTAAGGGACACATTGACATTGCCCTCATCATAGTAGTCCAAAGAACAGAAAAAGCATGTAGAGGAAATATGCCTACCATTTCCTCCCGAACTTGTTTTACACATAATTAGCACATGCACATTTGTAGAAAACCTTCTGCAGACATCTTTTTTTTTCTGATAGAGGCCAGTCGGACAATCCTGTCACGTGCTGTTCTTAACTGTGTATTCTACAATCGTTCAGTTTAGCTGCCTACAGGTAAATGTTCATATTGCCTCTTCAGCTGTACCTCTAGCATTGTAAGAGACACTACAGACTAGCGGCTGATCTCAGTTAGTACCATGCAAGCCACATTCAGGACGACATAAACTGTGCCATCAAATGGAGCCATGATTTAGATTCTGTACACACACGAGAGTTACAGGACTGACACTGGCATGACTGAGATAAGGATTCAGCTTGCTTCAAGATTTCTTTCATGTACAAACATGTATATAGAGCAATTCATATATGAGCACATGGATAAAACCAGTTTACGCAAGTGGAATTTTAACCGTTTCATCCCTCATCTTAGGTTATATCCAATAATAATTCCTTTTTTTTCTAGTCACGAGACTATTACTTTATAGATGAATCACTGTGTTCTCAGATACATATATACAAAATAGACTGGTTTTCTACAATTAAAACATAGGAATTTTCTTCCACATTATTCAACTCAAGTATAGGTGAATATAAAAGGGAACAGTAAGTCAACATCCTCAAAGGGAGTTCTATATCCCCTTTCCCTATCCTGGACTCTGGTTTTGGGGTCAGAGTTACTGAATTTGCACTGCCAATGTTAAAGAAAAGCAAAAAAAAAACCCCCAAAAAACCCAACAGTGGTCAATGTGTGAGTATTTATATCCATAGCAGGTAATCGGCCTGACTATAATAAGTCTCTCAACAAATGAGCCTTTTTTTCCTAGTGTATCAAGTTCAATTAAAGAACTTTTTTTATTTTTTTTATTTTTTTTTTTTTACAGAGGCATGCTGAAACCCCAAAGCAACCCTGCTTAGCCCCAAATCTACTATGCTACGCTGCAGGGCTACTGGCTTCTAACCCGCTAGGGCCTCAATGGTCTCAGCTTCCCCAAAATTAAAAAAAGAAAAAAACTAAACCAGATTTAGGCTGGGCCCAGTCACCTAGGCTCAGAGACATTGCCAGGGCTCCGAATGAAGCGTAGGTCGGAATCTGAGACTTGGCATGGCATGCTGAAACCCCAGAGAGGTTGCCAAGCCCTGAGACTTTGCCCCTTGAACCCCTAGCACTGGTTCGGTGAGCTCTGAAGCCCAACTGAGCTTAGCATGTGTTGTGGGGCAAAACAAATCTCCCAAATCCATAAGGTTGCAGCTGGGCAGCTCAGACACACATCACGGCGTTAACTTGCAACCTCCTGGTTCCTAGCTCATCACAGAAGCCCCTTGGCCACAGGATCCAGCAGGAGGACCCATCTCTGAAGATCTCAAGAACTTCAGTGGCCTAATGCCCTTCACATCCCATGCTACGCTACACAAAAAAATATTTAATGTGCCTTGTGTGAAGGCCCTGGGCACAGCAAAAAAGGCCACATGAAGCCACAAAGTCCCCTTTTCTAAATACAACCATCATCCTCACAGCCCCAAACCTACTACACAAAGTCTGCAGGGCTGCTGGCTTCTTACCTGCTAGGGCCTCAATGGTCTTAGCTGCCCCAAAATTAAAACAAAAACAACAAAAAACCCCCCAGACTTGGGCTGGGCCCAGTCACCCATGCTCAGACACTGCCAGGGCTCTGAATGAAGCATAGGCCAGAATCTGGGGCTTGGTGTAGTATTCCACGCAGACCCTGAGGCTTTGCTCCCTGAAGCCCTAGCACTGCTCAGGTGAGCTCTGAAGCACATCCAAATATGTCATGTGTTGGGGGGCAATTTTTTTTTTTTTTTTTTACTATATTGCTGTAACTGCTTGCGTTTTATCTCTTTCATAGCAAGTTAAGCCATGCAGCTGGTAATGAGAATTATTGCTTTATGTTAAGTCAGGGGCAGGCAAATATTTCAGGCGGAGGGCCACTTACTGAGTTTTGGCAAGCCATCAAGGGCCGCATGACAGGCAGCCAGGGACAGATAACTATTCATTTTCTAACTTTTTTAGGGGCCTCGCAGGCTGGATAGAACAGCCTGGCAGGCTGCATCTGGCCCGTGGGCTGCATTTTGCCCACTCCTGGGTTAAGTGCTTGGACTAAGCAAGTGGGAGTGGAATGATTTTTTTTTTTAAAGGATGGTGCTCTGTTCACATTTCTGCTTTAAAACATCTCAGGACTGTCAGATATGGCCTGTTTCACCATTTGTTCACTTGAAGTTAATGTGACCTGACATTATACTATTTTGTACTGTTGGGCTAGCTAGCGGCCAGTTTGTGTTTGAATTATACTGTGCACGCTGCAAGCCCAATACAAGGGAGGTAAAGCCCAACAACTTTACAATTTAAGCATGGCTGCAGAATCAGGTGCTTATGTAAGGAATGTATTACAGAATGATTGTCTGAGGTTGCTGACAGACTAATTTGAAAACACATCAAGGGTTTGGGTGTACTTTGGGTCCATTTGGAAACGCAATGCTTGATTTGCCTTGTTTGGAGTGGGAGGAACAATCAACCTCCCCAAGCAGCTGAGTCAGAAAAATCCATGCCATTCTTTTCAGCCACAGCATCTTGCAATCCTGTTAATTCACTATTTCACTCCAAGCTGAACCAAAACACATCCCTTGGGAGAACCAGGAAGCATGACTCGGCATTTCCAAGCACTCTCTACAAGCATTGTGTACAAGTTCCATTTTTAAGGGTGGTTGGTGCCTACAGCATGGTTACACACATTTCTAAACAAAAACTAAATTTCACTTGTGTTTTTCTGTATTAAGAGCTGCACAGCTTCAGGCTGATGAGGAGCATAAGAATTCTCCTTTCTTGCCTTGGCTTCTACCCATACAAGTATTCACAGCTTGCAACCCCCTCCCTGCTGCAGGATTAACAGCTCACATTACATTTAATCCTTTTCACATCTCCTGTCCACTTCCTTCAGCACAAACTGTGATAGAAAACCCTTATGGCTTTAGCAATGACAATTTTCTGTTTAAAAAGTTGGCTGCTTTTGTCCCATTTACTTGGATCCACTAATTTTTCTTGCTCTTTTTCTCCACCTGCATACAGTAAGCTTTTTATCTGCAGCACTCTCCTGGTAACACAGCTTTCTGCACCGTTTTGTAGCCTGCGTGGTTGGTACATCTGTTGCATTTAATTCAGATTTGTACATACCTATACATGTGAATGCCTGTTTCCAGATGCACTCATGAGATGGGAAATAAACAAGCTGTCCACTTTTCCTCCTGCGTCCCCCTTTTTTGTATTTTCCAGTGGGAAGCGTCTGGCCACAGCTGATCCACTTCACTCGAAAACACACGCTGCCCACTGTCCTGCCCCAAAGTGGATGATACATTCCCCTTGTCACATGGAGGCATAGATCAAGTGTGGTGGCACAGGGATGCAGGGCAGCATGAAACCTGGGGAATCCCCAGCACCCCATGCTGGGATCTGCTCCAAGTGCAAGGCTGACCTGTGCTTCATGTGTTGACAGGTCACTAGGGAATCCTTGGGTCCCATGTCTCCATGCTGGGACCTATGAGGGCTTTCCACACTTAAGGAGACCACCCCCAGAGATCCCAGGGCAAGTCTCCATAAGCAGGGAACCCCAATTTTCCCCGCTGACAGAGGCACCTCAAGATTCCCCAGGACGTCCCTGCTTGCAGGTGCTCCCAGGGCTTGAGGGGCCTGATCATGCATGGGAATTCCTGGTGGGCACAGAATTAGGCCCCTCAAGCTCCCAGACCACTTGCCCAGGCAGCTGGAGAGCGCAGGCAGCTCTGGGATGCCCACACTGCTCCCACTACAGCATGCAGACATCTGCAGCCATAAAACAGCACTATTTTACATTACCAACTATGTGGTGTAACAAAGGGTAGGGGCATCAATTTGCTCACAGCTGGTGCTGCCGTACAAATTTTTATGGAAGCAGATGTGATGTCAGGCAGTATCCATTGCTACCCTCAGGGTTGTTCAGAGGAAAGAAAAGTTATTTACTTTGTCTCAATGTTCAGAGCATGACACCAGACTGTAACCCTGTATTCAACATCAGTAGCAAATCAACAGCCTGCTACAAACACTCTTAGTGGTGAACTATCAATTGAGGGGATTAATCAATTGAGAACTGTTTGACTTTAATTGCAAAAGCGGGCTGGCCAATCATGCTTGTGGGTGGCTGGAGAGAGACTTAAAGAATTAATATTGTAGTACTTTGCACAACAGTGGGAGTACTGCCAACCAGAGCCAAGCACTTACCTGTGTTGGAAGATGCAGGTATCCTTCTGTGATCCCTGCTCCACTCTGCACCCTCAGCATGACTTAGCACTACTATGGACTAGATCCTCCTTCCATGCTGTATTTCCAGGATTTTACTGAAAGATTGCAACAAATCATTTGGAGAAAGCAAGAACTTCAGTAGAGAGCAAAAATGAAGAGAAGGGCAGGATGGGCAAATGAAACAATCTCTAAGATGTGGTTACACAGAGTAGGGGGCCCTGACCTCATTCTAAGAAAGGCACTGCATCCACTGAGCTGAAGAGAAGCACCAAAGTGCTGTTAAAATGGAAAAAACAAACAACCCGCACTAAAACCCATCCAAAAAGCAGCTATTCAAGGACCCAGAGCTCATGTCCCTCATAATCCTTTTACAATTCCAGTGGAGAAGCCACTTAAAGCAGTTTAGAGTTGCATCAGGACAGATCAAGATGTGGTGAATCCCACACCCAGATATTGCATGGCATTGACGAGATTGAGCCAGACTCCATGTTAAGAAAGTGTGTCTGGAACAGGAAGAAACTTATAAACATTTCACTGAGAAATCTGAGCAAACCCTACAGAACATCTTTAAAAAGCAGAGGAAGGAAGTTCAGACCAAAAAAAAATCCACCTCAGAAAACTTCACGAAGACAGCTCTTGGGACAGGTAAGGGAGTGGGATAAGAAGTCACATGAGGAAGGTGGTGCATCCACAACCAAAGAGAAAGCAACTCAACTGTGCAGGGAGGAAACTCTGCACATCACACAGATTTTCAAAATAGGTGGAAGTGATCTTCCTTGGGAGGATCAGAGAAAAAAGAGAAACTTCTCAATGAAATGAACAGCCACATTAGAAATTGCTATAAAGGTGCAAACCAGAGAGATGAGCTGGAAACATTTTCAAATCAAGGGTTATGTGTCACTACATATGGAAGTATCATTTGCATCACTGCTGGGTGAAGCCACTAACATCACGCTCCATCCTAAACCAGACTCGCTGTGTGACATTTGTCTGCTTGCACCTCCATCTGTGGAGTCTGTGCACCCTGCATACCCAGCTACCCAACACTGAAAGCCATTTGTTTAACACCACTTTCTCCATTTGTCCACCAGTTCATCTTTCTGGGCTAGCATAGCAACCCAACTAGTGATTACTATAGGAAACTGGCAGGAGTTAATCAAGGCAGCATTGTTAGGGTTTCTGCTTTTCAGTTTAAAGATCCATAATACCATCCACATACAAAAGAAACAAAAAAATCAGCATAAAACAGTCAATTTAGGGTGACATCACCTCTTTTCTGGTGTAATTTATTTAGGTGATATCCCTCCAGTCTGGCTTATATGTAATATTAATTCAGGTTGGGTACTTCAACCTTACCCAACTGAGTGACAGCTCTCTTTCTTGATCTTTCACATAAGGACTGTACAAGAAGATAAAGAAGATGATCACCAGCTGTATTTCTTGAGATGGTTGCTTTGCATAAAAAAAATTCCAGGCTATTTGAAAACTAGAATTCATGAGTTGATTCATTCAGAGCTATTGGATCAGCTATACTCAGAGGAAGCATTTATACTGTATAAGTGCTTTTGATATTTGTGTGAATCAGACTATTCCATTAAATATGAAGCAGGACAGCCCGCTGCATGACGGACTCTGGGAAATAAAAATATCCCTCACTTAAAAGACCACAGGTCTAGGTTGCTTTATTTGTCTATGGTGTAGCTCCTTGTAAACTAGGAACTAGCACCTACCTTTCCCACAAGTGAAACCATTCAGGGGTAACTAGATACTTGTACATCACCGCTGCAAACCAGGAAGCAAAGGCAGCAATTTTTGTTTTTGAAATTAGGGACCACTCTGCAAGCTGGACTCTACAACATTGTTCTGGTAGGTGGAGATAAGGGCTGGAATCTCAAGGAAAGCCTGTTGGAAAGGAAAGCAAACTTTTTTTTTTATGCCAAATTTAGGGAAAACTTAAATCTGAATTTCTTACCCAAGTGCAGATGGTCACTATCCTGGCAATTTCCTTTCAGAAAGCAGCTCTGATTTCTCAGCTGTGTTAAGATGCTTCTATAATGAAGACAGTTCTCTCAAATATTCAAACTGTATGCCAAAAATTAGTTTTTGCTGACCTAGGCATTAGCATAAGGACACAAAATACTTTACACCAAAGTGTGTGTTTCATTAAAATATTGTTAATTAAGGAGAAGGAAAAAAAATCACCACTGCATGTCACTCCTCTTCCCTCCCACAACACAAATCTGCATCCCTCCAGGCTTCTATACAGAACTTGAGTTTTGGTAGTTTCACTGATGGCTTGTGCTGGACAGAGGGAAGAAGGAGAGAGGGTTTTCTATGCCCACATTAATTGCCAATTAATTTGAGGGAATTAATATTTTTAAAGCACTAGTTTGGATACTCCCACACCTAGAAAAACTTGTAGTTTAGTCCCAGCTGACCCCTCTTAACTAGCAATCACTGTAAGTTTGGTTTTGTTTTTTAAAAAGAAAGAGACACTCTCAGTAAGGTTAAAAACCCAGCCACTGCAGGACTGATAAGTGCAGAAGCATCATACAACAGGTAGCCTTACTGAATTTCAATATTTAGACCATTTACACTTGGGAGAAAGATTTCCAGGGTGCAATTATTTTTATTACCATAGGATTACCTTCCTGTTCTTCATCAACTACTTTGGGTCAGAAGCACACCACAAATAAAAAAAGATTCTTTTGCTTAAAATATTACAGTTTATCCCTCAACAGTATTCGGACTTCCATGATCATCATTTGTCCTATTTGGTTCCTTCCTCCCCCTGTGGAACACGTACCATCCCCTGCCCCTTTAAAAAAGGGAGAACTTAGGACTAGCCTCCTCACATCACTTCTACTCCCGCCTATTCCTTGGGCGCTTTACCTTAGTGACTTAATTCAAAGTTTGCTTCCCTTAAAGAAAGGCAAGAAGTTCTTAGTGTAGTCAATGATTTCCAGAAACAAGAAAAACACCAAGACTCCATGAAAGTTCATGTTCATTCATTGGTTGTCTATTAAGTTAAAATAGCACAACCTTCAGTACAGTTCAAGGGCTAAAATTATAAGAATAAGGCAAAGCCCTGAAAGGGGACAGTGTAGAACTACACTCTTTCACAGGGTACCTTAGTCCCATTCCAAATGAAGCACCTCATTGTTTCTGCTGTCAGCTAGTTTGCATATCCTACAGCCTTACAGCTCCTCTGGGGCACTGTGCACACAGGGCTGGAGTAGGAGAGTGATACCTGAAACTATGGATAGCCCTCTGGAAGCTGCTGAAGGAACAACAGGAAGCTAAAGGAACCCCCACCCTCCAACTCTATAAAGGACAAGCAAATTCCAGACCCAGCTGAATAGCTAGAATTTAAGTCAGAATTTCAGTTACATAAGGTCATAACAAAGTTTATGCACAGAAATGTAGTTTACTTAACTAATTAGCTGAATCTTTTCTTTGCTTCTAATTATCAGTTAAAAGGAAATTATTCAAACATGTTGGTTATGATGTGCTGAAATGTCTAATAACTCACATAGCTACATTACTTGAGAGCAAGGAACCACAGTAAGCAACACAAGTCAATCTTTATTGAAAACTGAAGTATTAATACATAACAATTCTTGTTACAATAAACGTGCTTTTAAGAATTTAAATCTGAGCTCATCTACTCATTGGATTGCATAAAAAATAAAAAAAAGTATGAATTTACACATAATTGAACTGGCTCAGGATGGAATCTCCACTCCTTTGTGTTGATGCAATAGTTCAATGTAGAAGTGAGTGATGCTTTAAAACTTATTCTGGAAGACAACATTGACCTAAACTTAAAAAAGTACCAATATAACTGCTTGTAAGACAGTTTTAAAAAAAAGTCATAAAAAAGGAAACCTGTGCCTATTTCATAACAAACATGAGCACTATTACTGGGGCCTCTTGTACTTCTGTTGCATGCACTCACTTTTTTCAGATCTTAGACATGAGGGCAGCCAATAATAGCATCACAATAAAAAACCCACTAACAAATCCATTCTACTTAAAACAAGTCTGTACAGCAGCCAGCTAAAAAAAGCTTTCCTAGTTCGCCTGCTAAGTGCCCAAAAATCACACCAGTTTGGAAAAGTTACCGCCGTGTTTTTTTTATTTTGGAGCTTTAGAGGTTAACAACTGTTTAGAATATTTGATATTACAAGTGGACCCTCAAAACTGTAGTTTGCAGATATTTCCAAGTGTACATTCTCTCCAGCATCACTCTTCCTCCCTGCAACCCACTTCCCTACCCACCCCTCTCCCCAACTTCTTTCAGGACACAAACAGATGAATACAGCCTGCTGGAAAGCCACTAGAGAAGATCTCTAAATAGATCTAAAAAAAGTCAGAACAAAGCATGATGGTAAAAAAAATAAAAAAAAAAAAAAAAAAAATCCTGACTTGACTGCAATGTTTTATTTATAAACATTCCCCTTCAGCATCACA